CTCGTCCCGCATCTCCTCCAGCTGCCCCAGGAGCCCCGCCTTGAAGAAGACCTGAGGGGAGGGACAGGTGGACACGGGGATGGACAGGTGGACACGGGGATGGACACGGGGATGGACAGATGGACATGGGGATGGACATGGGGATGGACATGGAGATGGACATGGGGATGGACAGGTGGATATGGGGAGGGACAGGTGGACATGGAGATGGACACGGGGAGGGACAGGTGGACACGGGGATGGACAGGTGGATGAGGGGATGGACAGATGGACACGGGGATGGACAGGTGGACACGGGGATGGACAGGTGGACATGGGGATGGACAGGTGGACACGGTGATCCTGGGACCACGAGGTCCACGTTCACCTCGGATTGTGGCACCACAGGTGACAGAGACCCCACGGCCTCACCTTGGTGTGCCCAAACTTGTACTGGTTGTGGTCGATGTCGATGGAGCCCAGGAGTTTCTCGGCGCCTTTGCGGCTGTCGATGAACTGCCCCTCGGGGATGGCCGCGGGGTTCAGGATGCGGTACCTGGGGGTCAGACAGGACGTGACCCCCCGAGTTCAGCCCCGGTGGGGTCGTCCCCTGTCCCCAAACCCCCTCCTGGTCCCCACCGCTGGCGGAAGTCCCCGTAGAGGATGCGGTTGGGGAAGCCCTTGCGGCAGATACGGATTCCCTCCAGGACCCCGTTGCAGCGGAGCTGGTGCATGACCAGGGCGTTGTCCATCACACCTGGATGGGGGGGATGGGATACAGGTGAGGGGTCAACCACGAGCCACGCCCACACCCCAACCTCCCCTCCCCACCCTGGGCTCACCCGGCTCCTTCCGCTCGTTGGGGACGAGGCAGCGGACGAAGTGGGGGTGGGTGGTCTTGAGGTTGGCCATCAGCTTGTTGAGGTTCTCCTGGCGAGGAGAGGGGAGGGTGACCAATGGGAGAGCGGGGGAGGGGCCGAGGGGAGGTGGGACCACCCTCCACACCGGGGGTTCTCCTCCCCCCGCCCCACAGAGGATCCAGGGCGGGTCCCTCACCCGGTGCAAGGCTGAGACCGTCTGGAAGGAGGAACCTTTCTTCTTGGCTCCTTTGCCCTTCCCGCTGTCGCCACCTGCCGAGGAGAGCGCTGGGGTGAGGTGGGGACAATGACAACCCCCCGTGGGCGTTGTCTTCTCCACCCCTTCCATCACCCACCAGAATCCGCCCCGGCGTAGTTGGAGAAGAGGTGGGCCAAGAGCTTGAGGGCGGATTTCTGGTAGAGCCCCACCACGGTCTCGTTGAGGGGGTCCTTGTTCTTCTCCAGCCAGCCCAGGATGTTGTAGTCCACGGTGCCGGCGTAGTGCACGAGCGAGAAATGAGCCTCGGACTTGCCCTTGACGTTCCGCGGCTTGCCGAAATTGGCCGACTTGCCCAGGTGGTTGTCGTAGAGTTTGGACTTGAAGGTCATGTCCGAGGCCTTGGGGAACATGCACTCCTCCTCCAGGATGGACATGATCCCCATGGGCTGGGGACAAGCGGATCTCGTCGGCCGGAGAGGACGCACCGAGGACACCCCAAAATCTGCTCGTGGGGCACCCAACTGGATGGGTCCTCATCCCTCAACCCCCCGAGCCCCCCGAGCCCCCCGGGGTGGTGGCACCTTCTCGATGAGGTCGATGCAGGCCTGCAGGTCCATGCCGAAGTCGATGAACTCCCACTCGATGCCCTCCTTCCTGTACTCCTCCTGCTCCAGCACGAACATGTGGTGGTTGAAGAATTGCTGCAGTTTCTCGTTGGTGAAGTTGATGCAGAGCTGCTCGAAGCTGTTGAACTGGGGGAGGAGAGGGAGGGGTGGGGGATGGAGGCTGTAGGGTCAACTCAACACCCAATGGGGTCAACTCAACACCCAATGGGATCAACTCAACACTCAACGGGATCAACTCAACACTCAACGGGGTCAACTCAACTCCCAATGGAGTCAACTCAACACCCAATGGGGTCAACTCAACACTCAACGGGATCAACTCAACACTCAACGGGATCAACTCAACACTCAACGGGGTCAACTCAACTCCCAATGGAGTCAACTCAACACTCAATGGGGTCAACTGAACACCCAATGGGGTCAACTCAACACTCAATGGGGTCAACCGAACACTCAACGGGGTCAACTCAACACCCAATGGGGTCAACTCAGTCCATGGGATCAACTCAACACCCAACACGATCAACTCAACACCCAATGGGGTCAACTCAACTCCCAATGGAGTCAACACCCAATGGAGTCAACTCATCAACACCCAATGGGGTCAACTCAATACTCAATGGGGTCAACTCAACACCCAACAGGGTCAACCCAGCACCCAACAGGGTCAACTGAGTCCATGGGGTCAACTCAACACTCAGTGGGGTCAACTCATCAACACCCAATGGGGTCAACTGAACACCCAATGGGGTCAACTCAACATCCAACAAGGTCAGCTCAATGTCCCATGGGGCCAACAGGGACAACTCAACACTCAACAGGGTCAAAGTGATGCCCAAGGAGGTCAATGGGGACCAACTCAACACCCACTGGAGGCAACAGAACATCCAGTGAGATCAGTGGGGCCAAGCTGAGACCCAAAGGGTTCCAAACAACGCCCAGTGTGGTCAAGAGGGTCAACTCAACACCCAAAGGACTCAACGCCCAATGGAATCAATGAGGTCAACACTCAACGACGCCAACACAAAGACCCAAATCCCCCCCCGAGGTTTCACCGTGAAGCTGCAGGAGATCCACTCAACACCCAACCAGCTCAAAGGCACCCCCGAAACGCCCAAGGCCGCTGCCCCGCCCCGAGCCTCACGTCGAAGATCTCGAATCCGGCGATGTCCAGGACGCCGATGAAATATTGCCGCGGCTGCTTGGTGTCCAGAGAGTTGTTGATCCTCACCACCATCCAGTTGAACATCTTCTCGTAGATGGCCTTGGCCAAGGCGCCGATGGAGTAGTAGACCTGCTGGACGCTCTGGCCCTTGGTCACGTACTCGTTGCCCACCTTGACGCGCGGGTGGCACAAACCCTTGAGGAGGTCGGCCGAGTTCAGCCCCATCAGGTACGCGGATTTGTCGGCATCTGCGGAGCGGGACAGGCGCGCTCAGGTGTGACCTCACCTGGTGAGCCCTCCCTGAGGCGTCACCCCCCCATCCCTCGTCCCGACTCGCCTTCGGTGCCGTCGGGCTCCGCCTGCTCCTCCCGCTGCTTCTGCTTGAATTTCATGTTGCCGAAGTGCATGATGGCGCCCGTCAGCTTGTAGACGCCGGCCTTCTCCTCGGCCGTGAAGCCCAGGACATCAAAGGCACTCTGGGAAGGGGGGAGGGGCGGGGCCAGGTGAGGGCGTGGCCTCTGCTGTGATGGTCACCAGGCGAGGGTAACACCCACTGGCCTTGCACTCGTTGGCCAATGGGGACACATCCAGCCATGGGCTCGTCCATGGACGTGTTGGTTTGTCCATGGCCCATTGGTCCAGCTCAGGACTCGTTAATTCCTGGATCCATCCAT